TTTTGATGTTCTTGGAATCTGGAGAGGGGTTCTGGTAGGATTGTAATAGATTTTGGGAAAAAAAAAAGTGTGATTTGATAGCTAAGACTATGGGCTTGAGCTTTAGTTTCTCCCCTATTATGTACCATCAGCTACCACGATGGTGTATGAAAACATGAATGTGCGCTTCAGTAAAATGACAAGGAAGTCATCCACCAGTTGCTTCTGAGTCTATCAAACATCTGGTGACGGCCCTGAGTCTTTGTTTTTCCATAACAAATATCTCCAGGTTCTTTAAATATGTCTCAAACAGTGTGGCTTCAAATTTCTTCGTTTTTTAAATCTTATATCATATACCTAGGAATGAATTTTGGCTGATCTACATTTCAACTTAAAAGGTAGGGGGCCAGAATGGAACACAATGCACAGTTAAACTGACAGGCTTCGAGTTCCCCAGGTTCTGTTTACATGGTTTGGAAGCTTTACCACATCACAGTCAGGAAACCTCCATGACTTTCTCACTTGTGTTGCTGTTAAGATACAACGCCCCCTGCCCCATTCTGTCCTCATGTAGCTGTTTTTTGGGGACACATACAATTATTCCATTAGTCCTATTATATTGGATAAATTCAGTCTATTGTTCTACTGTGAAGCTTAGAGAGCTATTTTGTCTTCTAATAAATCTCTTTCTAGCTTAACTTCCCCACTAATTTGATCAGGATACCATCAAGTCTTATCCAAGTCCCAAGAGGAGAAAGGCAAGGTGAGCACACATTCATTCATCAGCCACCAAGTTTATGGAGAGCTTGCTACATGCCAGCAGTGGGCTAAGTCCTAAGAATACAATGGAAAGCAAAAATTGGCATTCTCTACTCTCATGAAATGTACCCAATGGAGAAAAATAAATAAATAATCACTTGAATGATTGTATTATTGTAAACTGAATACATTCACCAAAGGATAAGAATGTGGTTCTATGATAGCATGTAACCAAGTAACCTACCCCGGGCTAGGATCTTAAGAGAAAGTGACACTGAAGAGTAAGCACTGTTTGTTAAGTGAGGAGGGAAAGAAGGATGAACCAGATGGAGGGTATACATGAGCACTGTGCTATTAGAAAACTTTCTTATTAGTAGTAGGCTGCTTAATTATACTACTATACAGCTTCCATTTCTCCACCTTGTCTCAAAAGTTGTTTTGAACGATGGACTGACTGCCTAAGGCCAAGCTGAAATTTAGGCCAAGCTGAAATAAAATCCACTCTCGAAACCAGGAACATTTGTCTAACTCAAACTTTCTTACAACGTTCCCCCTTACAGGTGATTCTTTAAAATCAACCACCACGTTTTCAAAACATCTCTAAGTTTTCTTCACATTTGAGATGAAATTTACCAGAACCAGAAAATTTAAAAAGATTTAAGCAGCTCAAATGGTAGTTTTCAAAGTGTGATCCAAGGGCCAGCTGCATCAGGAACACCTGAGGTGCTTATTAAAAGGCAGATTCCTGGGCACCACCCCAAACCAAATGAATGAGAGTTGACAGGGTTCAGGAATTTACATTTAACAAGTTCCCCAGGTGATTCTTCCACTTCAATATTTGAGAATCCTTGAGTTAGTTGTGTTCTCACAGCAACCACACACTCATACAGAGCTTCAAGTCCCTAATATTCAATCCCCCTGAGTCTAAAGTGCTTTACTCTCAGTAGTCTGGCAAAGAGAAAGCAGGGTTTTGGAGCCAAGAGATCTGGAAGCAAATCTGGTTCTATTACTTCCTATCTAGGTGAGCTTGGACAAGTTGCTCAATATTTCCAGGCCTGTTTCTTCATTGATAACATGTAGACAAGAACATCTATTTCATAAGGATGTTGTTGCAATTAAATGAGAGTCAGAACAATGATAGAGGAAGCCTGTCATTCTTTGGAACAACTACTGAGGTCTACATACCATTTATAACAAGATGAATAAACCATCATCAGGTACTGCACTGCCTATTATGCATATCGGGGAGAAGGAAACATTCCCATCTCATTACTTTGTTGTTTTTTGTACCTATTGCTCTGTATTTAAGGTACAGTCAAACGCTTGTGCTGTTTTCTGTTAAGGGTCCCATGAAAAATGTAGATTTTTTACCCCTTGAATTGTCTGAAGCCTCCTTACCATTATACATATGACAAAGGCCTGAAATCTAGCATGACCTCAACTGGAATCTTCTCCAGCCTCACCTTGCCCCCATGTCCCAAGTTAGAGTTCCTAGGATCAAACACTTGTTCTGATGCTTATTGGTGTAAAGCCCTGGTGAAGTTACTTAAACTCTGTGCCTTAGTTAACTCATCTGTGAAATGGGGATAATGATAGTACCTATTTCATGGGGATTTTAGAATGATTAGGTGACATTTAGTAAGCACTGTTAGCTATTCTCATTGTCACACTGGACCCACACCAGCAGCTGCCTCCTCTCAGGTCTCTGAAAGCTCTAAGCCCCTTCTCACCTCAGGATTCCCACTATTCTCTTTGCCTATAATGCACTTGGCCTCTTCTCTGGGCCCCTCCTACTCACTCTTAAGGCTTAAATGTCATTCACCTGAAGCAGCTTCCTGATCCACCCCTGCCACCACCACTTAATAAAGTAGGTTAAGAACCCCTGTTAAATACTCATTCACTCTGTATTTTTCCTTTGCAGCACTTATTATAATCCAATGTTTATTTACTCCATTAAAATAGGGAACGCATCTTACACTACTCCACATCCACCTGATAATTAGCACAATTCTGAGTCCATAACAGCACTCAAAATACTTTAAGTATTTGAGGAATGAGTGATTTCTTAAATCTGACTGTGCCCAATCTTTCTCTCTTGAGATTGTCAACAACCTCTACAAGTCAGTCACTTTTCTGCCCAGAGGCAGAAGAGCTCTTCATTCCCTTTACTTCCCGAGATAAAATTTTCAGAAATGCAAATCAAAAACTTAACACACGCTTAGCTGAATGGGACTCCTAAGAGTGTGTTTCAACTCCAAGTTACTTTAGATCTGCACTGTTCAATACGCTAACTACTACTATATGAGGCTACTGAGCATTTATGGTGTTGCTAGTCCAAAATCATATGTGCTAAGTGTAAAATACACATTGGACTTTAGAGATTTGATACAAAGGTTAAATATCTCATCATTTAAAATATTTACTACATGTTGAAATAATATTTCAGAAATATAGGGTTAAATATATTGCTAAAATTTTCACCTTTTTTTTTTTAACTTTTTAAATGTGGCTACTACAAAACTTACATATATGGTTAACATTAGATTTCTATTGGACAGTGCTGTTTTAGACTATTTGCCCAAAAGGTATGTTGTAGTTCCCCATTTTATTTCCTCTCATTTTAATCCATAAAAAATCAGACTCCAATTTTTTTCATGTTTTTCTCAATTCTGATATTTCTAATGTATGGGCTATTCCACCAACCCTATGAACATGTCTGATTATTTTTAAAAAGGCAGTTTCCTAATCTTGGGTTTCATCACATAAAATTGCAAAAAACAAAACCCACAATAACCAAAAAAACAAAACCCTGGAGATTTACTACCCTGTCCCTACTTTATTTTTATACTATAAACATCATGGTTAAGAACACAAGAACTGTCAAGGACACATGGACAAAAACTAGGGGGAGGGTGGTAATGGGAGGGAAGTGGGGAGGGATGGATGGGTGGGCTGGAATGGGAGTAAAAGGGAGAAAACTGTACTTGAACAATGATTAAAATAAAATTAAAAAAAAAAAAAAAGAACACAAGAACTGGAGCCAGACCACCTGTTTTTGGAGCCCTGGCTCTCTATTACTTACTAGCTGTGTAACTTCGTTGCTCTGAATATCTGTGTGTAAGTTTCTACAACTAAAAAATGGGGATGTTAACAGTGTCTACTTCATAGGGATGAGAGCATTAATTGGTATTGGCAAAGTGCTTAGAATGGTGCCTGCTATGCAGTAAGCGTTCAGTAAGTAATGACTACCATTTGTCATCATACAAACCCCTCACCCTTCCCGCCCACTCGTATATTCTCTTATAATACTGGACACCTCTCCTAGTGATGTTGTTCCTCCAGAATTCTGCTACTTCCTAGCTGAGTAGTACTTGGGTAAGGTATTTAATTAACCTCTCTCACTTTTTAGTTTCCTTACATGTAAATGAGAATAGGTATTGCCACTTCCTTGCACAGGTTTGAATAACACAACCTACATTAAGTTCCTTGTGTGGTCATTACGACCTACTATATAACTCAAATGCACTTTCTGGTTTAACACACGTGGTACTCACAACGCACCAGAAGACAGGTATTTTATGAAGTAGGAAACAAGATCTGGGAAGCGAAGACTTGCCCGAAGTTAGCTATCTGTGCAATATTGGAATGAGGTTTCACTCCGAGTCAAATATTTTTTTTCACGAAACTAGAGCTTCTTTCCTTAAGCACGGGTGCTAGAAATAAATTATTTCATGATGTTTAGGGGATTCCAATGTTTGCAGAAGCGCAAGAAACCGGCAAAGTTAGTCTATCGCCCTGTTTCCTGCTGAAACTGCGATATAAAATCAAAACACTAGGTTTTGTTAATGCCATTATTAGGTCAAAGTATCCAAGAGCCCTAAAGTCGGCGACATGGATGAAATTTCAGTAAATAAAACAAAGCAACGAGATTCTCCTCCAGCCCCCCAAGGAAACTGGGGACCTCAGTTAAGGAGGTTCAATTGAACCGGGCCTTAGGGGCTGAGCCGGTTCCCGCCCAGGCTGCGCGGCCCAGTCGCCTCCAGACCCGAAGGAGGCCGCGGCCGCGCTGCGCCCGCCCGCCCCTCACCTCCGGCTCCGGGCGCTCCGAGGCCATCCCACAGAGCTCCGGCGCAGGCCCGGCCCAGAGAAGAGGTTCCACTCGTGACCCCTGACCCGGCTACCTCGCACCTGGCACAAACCGGAAATAAATGGGCGGGACGAGTTACGAGCTCTCTGATTGGTGGAAGGAGCCCTCTCGGAGGACTCGCTTACTGGGAAACCGGAAGAGGAGGTTGCTGCTGCCGGCACTGCCCCCGCTATGCAGGTGAGTGCAGTTTTGGGGCTATTGATTGCCAATTAGTTTCAGAGTACTAGCTGGAGAGTGGTTGCGTGAGGAGAGATTAGAAGTTGGGGCTGAGAGGAGGGGGCAGAGCCAGCGGCTGGCGCTTAAGGGAACGTAGTGTGGAGGGGCAAGGCCTACTGGATAGGAGAGGCGGACATCTGATGGGTTGGGGGCCCTGCTGACTGGAGACAGGCTGCCGCTAAATCGAGAGGTAGGAAGCAGCATTGATTTGCTGGAGTGTGGGGAAGAATCAGGTTGTAATTTGGGAAGGCTGAGATGTAATCTAAGGAAGACGGCTCAAGAAAGTGGCGCGTTGGCTCGGGCCCCGGCCTCGGCTGTGGGATGGATGCCGTTGGATGTAGAAATGACAGGGAATTTGTAATTGGAGAGACGCTCGAGGTGAAGAAATGGTGGGACCACACTGGCTAAAACCTCAACTAATTATAATCTGAGGCCGTGGGTAGAACCCAGGATCAGGGCTCCTGCCCTGCACATTGGCGAGTTTGCAAAACTGTTTCACAATCTGTGCCCGATAGTTGCTAAGGATGAAAATATGAAGTAAAACTGGAGGTCACAGATGGAAAGAAACTGCTTTGCAGACATCTGCCCCCCCGCCCCCCTCCCCGCGTTTTCAGTTGCCTACTGCTTAGGACATGTGAATTTTTTTTGGTTTGTTTTTCATTTGTCGTTTAATTTCTTGCCCCTGTAGTCTGTCAGTAAATGTCTGTAGGTTGACTAAGCCTGTGAAAGGAGCACAGGAATATTGGCACAGAGATAAAATGGTTGCAGATTAATTCATCAAGGAGGAGGTTGAAACAGCAAATGCTGAAGGCAAATGAAGTGGCGGGGCGGGGGATGTGTGGCACAAGGCCAGCATTCAGAGAAACCTTCATGTGTTGGTAGATTTCTCACAGATTGTGTGCCACTGACAAGAACAGCCCAGCTCAGAAGGCAAGTTCTAGGACAGAAGGGTACATATGCTGCAGAGGTACACAGAAAGATAATGAACCCGAGGCATTTAGGTCTGGAGAAAAGTTCTCGGTGAGAGAGAACAGTGTACTTCACACAGAAGAAACAGGCATGCGTGAGGAGGTGGTGAGAGAAAGGAATCAGCCGGTAGGAGGAACTGAAATCAGGTGAACGGGTTGAAAGGTCCAAGGGTTGACGCTGTCTGTAACCCAAATACCGAAGATGCAAGACAACCTGGCTCTCTCGTGCCAATCCTGTGTTACCCGACTAATGTTGCACGCTGCCCTCCTGTGTGTGTATGTCATACTCGCACACTCAGCTGGGTAATCGACCTGTTCCTACTGGTGCAGAGGGAGGAGAAGCAGCTTGAGGCGTCGTTGGATGCACTGCTGAGTCAAGTGGCTGACCTGAAGAACTCACTGGGGAGTTTCATTTACAAGTTAGAGAACGAGTATGACCGGCTGACCTGGTAAGAGTGGCCAGGGCGACCTGGGGAGGGCTCCGTGGACGGGGGACAGGGCCTCCTGGTGGACAGCATCTCCAGTGGTGTAACCATTTATCAGTTTGCAAACATCTTATGATGTGTTAAGAGCTGGGTTGCCTAATATTTAACAAGTGAAATGTAGCTTAGGGCCTCCCCGGCAAAGACGTAGAGAAGCGCACAGTTTCCCAACCTAGGTTCTTTCTACTTTTGATTCTTACCCTTCCACCTCACTGGGAAGAGACCCTTCCTCAGTGGGTCCTCCCGCTATAGTAGGAATACAACAGCCACACCGGATCTCTTGCCATAGATATTGGTGAGTCTTTTAAGTCCAACCTACACTGGAAGTATGGATTCTATTTCTAGGCTGGAAAGGAGGCTTTTACTCAGTTTCTGAATTTTTAGCAATAACAGTGTAGCCACGGTTCTTATTTTGCCACCATTACTCACCCCATTTGGATACTGAACTGCCTGTTTTCTCCATCTGTGTCAGAAGCTGAAAGCGTGTCCCTCTTCCCTAACCTCACAATCCCTGTAAGCCAGTCTGGTTCCCACCCAGTCAAGCCATAGGGCTGTGAGTCTTTGGGGGAGTAAATATGGGCATTCCTGATCTGAAGGACTCCTTTGAGAATACTGGGAACATTCTGATACCTTCTTACTACCACCAGGCCCTCTGTCCTGGACAGCTTTGCCTTGCTCTCTGGACAACTGAACACTCTGAACAAGGTCTTGAAGCATGAAAAGACACCATTGTTCCGTAACCAGGTCATCATCCCTCTGGTGTTGTCCCCAGACCGTGATGAAGATCTCATGGTAAGAGGGGAAGAAAGGTACAACTTGGGAGATGAAGTTCTTAGATGAGGACCTAGAGCACAATTGTTGGTTGGTTATTCTAGAACTTCTGAATGTGGAGTAGTGTGTGGCAATGAAAAGTGAGGGCTGCCTCTTGGAGGTCTTGCTTTCTGTCCTTCTGGAGTTGGGGAGCTATTCCCAAATAAACCTGAGGACTATGTCACCAAGACAGAGACCTTTCTCCTCGAATACCTGTCTCAAGCAAAAGTATGTTCTTATGTGACTTTGTATATTTCAGTGTTTGATAAAAAATAGTAGAGAGATTTGCTCCTATGTCTGGTAGATATAGAGGTGTAAGGAGACAGAAACAAAGAATGAGGAGTATAGGAATAAGGGGTAGAGTGTCCTAGATGATCAGGGAAGCTAAATGTTATAAGTCTTAGGCTGTGTTTACCCTGAAAATGCACTGTTTGCCTATGGCAGGAACTACAAGATATATCAGGCCAGATTGAATCTTCTTGGAATGCATAGGAGGCTTAATAAAGTCTGTGTTTTATAGCGGCAGACTGAAGGACGAGTACCTGTTTTCAGCCATGAGGTGGTCCCTGACCATCTGAGAACCAAGCCTGACCCTGAGGTCGAAGAACAAGAGAAGCAGCTGACAACAGATGCTGCCCGCATTGGTGCTGATGTGGCTCAGGTCGGGCCAATTCATGCCCTGCTGCCCCCGACTCCCCACATCTCATCATGAGAAACTAGGCATTACCATTGCTGCTTGCATGTAAATTGCCCCTAGAAGAACACAAGAAAGCAACTTCCCCACAATCACTTCTTACTTACCCTAATCTCTTCACCAATTTTTGTGTTACAGAAGCAGATCCAGAGCTTGAATAAAATGTGCTCAAACCTTCTGGAGAAAATCAGCAAAGAGGAACGAGAGTCAGAGAGTGGAGGTATGGAGGGATCAGTGGCAAAGTGGAGAAGGAAAGAGGAATGAGAAGAATAATCTTTTTTATTTAAGGCCAGCCCTGGAGCAGGTGGAGGAAATGGGTGAAAAAACTCTGAAATGGTTATGGGGGGGTCCTCTGGCTCCTCCTTTGGGCCAGCAGGGAGTCTAGATGCTATTGAAGTCAGAACTCCAAGCTCTGGTACTCATATGGGTTTTCATATTGCTGCGTTCAGTCCAGGGCCAGAGGTACACCTCAGGGTCCTCACCCACCTTTTTCTTCAGGTCTCCGGCCAAACAAACAGACCTTTAACCCTGCAGACACCAATGCCTTGGTGGCAGCTGTTGCCTTTGGAAAAGGATTGTCTAATTGGAGACCTTCAGGCAGCAGTGGACCTGGCCAACCAAGCCAGCCAGGAACTGGAACAATCCTTTCAGGAACCTCAGGGTTACAGCAGGTGCAGATAACAGGTGCTCCAAGCCAGCAGCAGTCAATGCTCAGTGGGGTGCAAATGGCTCAAGCAGGTCAACCAGGTAAGGTGGCAGGGATTGACATGGTGACAGACCTTGAACAGGGAAGTAGGAGTAAGTAGAATTGTCTGTGCCTCCAGCATCCCCAGAACTGGAGATTTTCTCCTATTCTCCTGGGCTGTGACCCAGAAAACAATTTTTAGGAGAAAAATTTTCATTTTGAGACTAACAAACACCAAGAGAATGAAGAATAACTTTGAATAGCAGAAACTGCTCTCACCTCCAACCCCCTCTCAAACCTCTGTCTCAACTACCCTTCTCTTCCATTTACTCTGGATATTTGGTGTGTTGCCAGGGTTTTTTCTTAGAGAAACTGATGGTCAAACCTTAATTAAGACCATTTGGTAGGTGGGTTGGGAACTGATAAGCAGTCAAGTTTCCCGGTGCTCCATGAATTCTTTTCTCTGTGTCCTATGTCTCCTGCTCATTTTGAGTAATGACAAGAGCAGTCTGGAGGAGTTCAGATGCAAGTAACTAGAAGGGATATTTTCTTCCAAGCTGCTTGAGGAAAGGGTCAATTAAAATAAAAGAGAACAGCCCCGGCTAGTGTAACCAGCCTGTGAACTGAAAGGTTGCCGGTTCATTTCCCGGTCAGGGCACATACCTGGGTTGTGGGCCAGGTCCTTGGTTGGGGGCCGTGTGAGAGGCAACCGATATCTCTCACACACTGATGTTTCTCTCCCTCTCTTTCTTCCTCCCTTTCCCTCTCTCTAAAAGTAAACAAATAAAGTCTTTATAAGAGAGAGAAAACATACTTTTACCCATGACATTAAATGAAGGTTACACAAGCTTAGCTGTTTTTTCTAGGAGTAGGTGAGTAGGAGTCTGATCCTCCCCACTGCCCACCCCCTCAGTCCTCTCCTTCTAGACACCTTCAGGGAGAGGTCTGAGTGAGGAACCGCACCTCTGAGGTTTGCCATCCAAGGTCAGATGCCACAGAGGTGCTGAGATGATTGAGGGGGTGGCAGAAGGAAACACGAGAGACCACATTTCTGACTGATCATAAAAGTCTTACCATGCTTCCGGTGTCTGTCTTCATATTCCTTGCAGGGAAAATGCCAGGTGGGATAAAAACCAACATCAAGTCTGCTTCAATGCATCCCTACCAGCGGTGAGTGTGGCCGGCAACCTCCACAGCCAGGTGTTCTTTGCAGAGTTGGGCAGTGAAATTGCCTTTTGCCCAAAGCTGACCTAGATGAGCGCGATGAGAGAATATGGGCTTTCAGCAACAGACAAATCCCAGCTCCACCACTGACCAGCTGTATGACCTTGCAAGTGGCCTAATTTTTCTAAGCCTGTTTCCTTATTTGTACATAGTGATAATACCTACCTCATAGGGTTGTTATGAGGATTAAAATGAGAAAATGAATGTGAAACACTAAGCGCAGTGTATGAAATAATTGGCATTCAATAAATAACAGTTTCTATAGCCACTTCTCCCTGCTGCCCTCCTCAGTCCTTGGTCCAGAACTAACCCTGGTTTGACAGTGCTTCATGCCATGGGTGAGCTGATGAACACGAGATCATGGACCTCTCAAAAAAGCCTGTGCTTATTTTGTGCTGCTACAAACCGTGTCAGGCTCTGTGTCCTTAGAGGCTCACTGTCTCTGCCCAGGTTCCATCCTGGCCATCTCCAAGCTCTAGGCAATGAGGCTTCTGGGCTCAATGAACTCTCCCTGCGGCTCTGGTGCAGCTCGGGCCAGCTGTGCTCTCCATTCTCTCAGAAGCCAATTCAGCCCTTACCTGGGAAGTAGTCACAAAGTCTGCTATCGTTTATCGTGCCCTGCACACATGAAGGAGGATGTCAAAGGCCCAGCAGGTGGGGGCTTCCCCAAGAAGTGGCTCTACCAGTAGGACTGTGTAAGAAAGGTGTTCTTTTTTGTTTGTTTGTTTTTGTTTGTTTGTTTTTAGCATTTGAAAAAAAGCCCTTTCCAGGCTAATTTTTCATACTTTGGAGGAAGAAGGGAATTTTACTGCACCCTGTCTTTCATCAGGGTTTAGTTATCCTTGTCATATGCCCCGTTCCTAGGTCCAGCCAGGATGGCTTTCCTCCAGTCCGCTGAGCCTGCGCCTCAAGTAAGAGCCAGATGGGCGGTGGGGGAGGGCAGCCTCCAGTACCTTTGCTTGCTTTCCTGAAGCTGAAGAGCAGAGTGAGTTTGGGCCTCCAGTCTAAGCTGCCTTTCTTAGTACTTCCTTGTGCGCAAGGGCAGGGGTTAAGTCAACAGAAGTGAGTCAAAAGATTTCTCTGAATTAAGTTATTTAAATGTTGATGGTCACTATGTTGGTCTTATCTGACAGCAATTTATGGAAGAGCTATAGAGGGACCAGAGACCATATATCAGAGACTTGCAAGGTTGCTGCAAGGCACTTCTAATTTGTTCTCCCTAAAAAGTTTCATCTTTGATTAGCTTTGGTCTGAAAGTCCTAAGGTGTGAGGAGAGCCTACTCATCCCCTTCAGCTGCCTGTTTCTGTTCTCTCATCACATTGCTTGTACTTGGGCATTTGTTCGGTGCCAGGCAGAATTATGCCAGGCTGTGGCAGCAAAGGACTGCAAAAGTGGTCCCAGATGTCACAGCCATTCTTGTTCCATAAGGACAAGAAATCCACAGAGCACACTAACCATGTTACACAGCAGCACAGGGAGTCACGTCATCGGCTCTGAGGCAATGCCCAACCTTTCTCCCACTTTCTCAGCACTGCCTTGCTGCTCTGTCAGCTCCTGCAGGTCTTCATCTGGTCTCTTCCCTTCCTGCTGGTGATGGCAAAGCTAACTGTCATCGTCATGCCTAGGGCTCACGCTGTGCTGCTCGAAAATCCCTGGTGTATTGGCAACTGCTATCCTTTATTCCACCAAAAGAATCCTTCCAGTTGAAAGGCACCAAACCCAAGTTTCTCGGTTGTCTGTGGTTAATACTGACTTCCTTCCCACCCTACTGTTTGAAATGGATTCCTGTCCTCCAAGAATGGAACTATCCTACCCCAAAAGGAACATGAAGGACCTGATCTGTATCTCATGCCCAGAAGCAAATACTCCTCATTCTGGAGGCACTCACATCTCTATGTTCTAAACTTTGGGAGTATTTGCTTACATTTCTGGGCCCTCCCCTCCCCTAAGTCCTCTGGAGCACACAAACCTATGTAGCATTGCTAACTTTGGGGCCCATACAACCCAGTAACCACCTCAGTGTAGAATATGTATCTCCCACCCCTAAAACACCCATTCCTTCGGGAGGGAATGTATGTATGGAGTTTCCTTTAAAGACAAGGATATGACCTGCTTGCTTGCTCAGATTCAGAATTTGCAAAAGATGGCTCTCTTGCCCTACTCCAGTAATATTCCTCAGTTTCTGACTGCTCTGTTTTGCCTGGGGGTTGCTTTTTCCTACTCTTGAGGCTCCTAGGGAGTGAGATTATCTTCCAGGTTTATGCCTAGGATGGAGAAAGAAGCAGCGGCTGTGAAATACTGAAATCTTACCATACCACTGAGTTCATCCTGCTGAAGGTGGGAGCTTACTGAATCAATACAGCTCTGTCCTAAGGTTGGTACTGGGTCATTGCTGAAACTCCTATTCATTCATTGCCCCAGTCACCCTATTTTCTTCTCCTTCTGGTGTCTATTGCATTCTTACCTAGATAGTTTATTTTAGTTAACCTTGTACTTTCTTGGGAAACAGCCAAGATAGACATATAGGTTGTAGCCAAGTGCTCCCTCTAATACCATAAGGAATCCTGGCGTTTGGACTGAGCTGGAGGGGGTGCATTGCCTACCTCCTGTCCTGCTGCTTGGGGGAAGAAGCTGAACTCTGCAGGAATGCCCCAGAGCAAGGCTGGTCCCTTTTTCCATCCCCTTCTCTCCTCCCCCAGGCAGCTGGGAACAACCTCTCCCTTTGTCTGAGCTGCTTGTACAGAATAATCCTCCTATGGACAATGTATTCTCTGTGCCCTGTAGACACAGGGGCTGTATGAGCCGATCCCAGCACCAAGCAGGACAGAGGCTGAATCCTTCTAAATGCCCACCCTGGGTCAAGTCCTGATTGCTGTCCAGAGAAACTAAGGGATGTATATTTTCTTTCATCTGCTTCAGATTTGAGGGGATAACCTTTTGAAGTTTAGCAACAAGCCAAAAGTTGGGCCAGGGGCTTTGGTCCCTTTTTGGTTTGGTCCTGAGGGTTCACTGTGCCCAGCTGAGGAGGCCTGATGCAGCTCTGGCCCTACAGCCTTGGACACACAGGGGCTAACTTTTGTGAAGACTTTGCCACCCTGTCGCTGGGGCTCTAATTGGAACGGAAGATGAACTCCAACCCATCTGACAGGGCGACAGGGCCACAGCACCCCGTCGCTTCAATATGTGTTTTGTCCCACCAGACAAACTTCCTCTCCCCTTCCCTTTAACGTCTCTCTCTGTTGTTTTTGAGCTCCTGCCAGTCACTGTGGCAGATCCTGGATCCCTCCTGTGGTCTCTTGCTGGGTTCGTGTGCCCTCAGCATGTCACCTACTGTCAGGACATGGCATCTTGTGCAACTGTATCACAGACGAGGCGCCTTACTTCTATGGGCCTCCGTTTTCGCACCTGAGTGGTCCCAATGTCCCTTCCCAGCTCTCAAGTCTCTGGAAATGGTTCCTTTTTTTTTTCTTCAGCGCATGACTGCGGTATGTAAAATAGGACAAATTTCTTAGATCAGCCCCCGAATCCCTCAAGCTCCTACACACTATTTTGTTTCTTCTCATTAAACTTTGTCTTAATGGGTCTCAAAATTCTGTCATAGATTTTTGGTTGTTTCCATTGAAAAGTCCTGATTTTAAAAAACGAATAACTTGAAAACTGCCACACATGCACAAAAACCAAGTGGTCCACAAAACATTCTCCCTTCCTTCTGAAGGTTTTCATGATGCATTGTAATCATTAACCAGTCTTACTATTAAACTTAGATGACTGATTGAGACACAGAGTTCTGAGACCATTCTTCCACCACTGATTATTCCTTTAGCCTTCTGAGCTTTCTGGGCAGACTTGGTGACTTTGCCAACTCCAGCTGCCTTCTTGCCCACTGCTTCAATGACACCCACAGCCAGTGTCTCGTGTCACAAATAACAAAACGGCCCAAAGGAGGATAGTCAGAGAAGCACTCAACACACACGGGCCTGCCAGGAACCATATTGACAATGGCAGCATCACCAGATTTCAAAACTTTGGGCCATCTTCCAGCTTTTTCCCAGAGTGATAATCAGTCTCCTTCATCTCAGCAAATTTGCAAGCAATATGAGCTGTGTGACAATCCAGCACAAGTGCATGTCCAGTACTGATTTGGTCAGATAACTCATGATCATCACCTCTGAGCTGTGAAGTCAGCCACTACCTATTGGTGGATCATTTTTGCTGTCACCAGCCACATTGCCATAACAAATATCTGACAAACACGTTCTTGACATTGAAGCCAACATCCCCAGGAAGAGCTTTACTCAAAGCTTCATGGTGCATTTCAACAGATTTTACTTCAGTTACATTGACTAGAGCAAAGGTGACCAGCATGCTGGGTTGGAGAACACCAGTCTCAACTTGGCCCACAGGGAAAATACCAGTGGCACCAGATGGGGAGACATCCTGGAGGGGCAGAGGCAGGGGCTTGAATGAGTTGGTGGCAGGATGCAATCCAAGGCTTCAAGCAGCACGTTCTACTAGCACTGCTGTCTTTACAGGTGACTTTTCATCCCTTGAACCAAGGCACGTTAGCATCTGGCTCCAGCATGTTGTCACCATTCCAACCAGAAATTGGCACAAATGCTACTGTGTCAGGGTTGTAGCCAATTTTCTTAATGTAGGTGCTGACTCCTTTAGTAATTTCCTCGTATCTCTTCTGGCTGTAGGGTGGCTCAGTGGAATCCTTTTTGTTTACATCAACAATTAGCTGTTTCACATCCAGTGTGTCAGCCAGAAGGGCACGCTCACGGGTCTGCCCATTCTTGGAGATCCCTACTTCAAACCCACCAACACTAGCAGCAACAATTGGGACAACCCAGTCAGCCTGAGAGGTGTCTGGAATCATGTTTTCAATAAAGTCTCTGTGTCCTAGGGCATCAAGGATGGTCACACAATACTTGCTGGTCTTGAACTTCCACAGGGAGATATCAATGGGGATACCACACTCTATGCTGAGCTTTTAGTTTATCCAAGACCCAGGCACACTTGCAGGAGCCCCTCCCCACCTCAGCAGCCTCCTTCTCATATTTTTCAATGGTTTTTTGTTGAGCCTGCCACATTTGTGGATCAGATGGCCAGCAGTGGTGGACTTGCCGGAATCTTCATGTCCAGTGACTGCGATGGTGATATGAGTCTCTTCCTTTCCCATTTGGGCTTTGATCTGGTGGTGGTTTTCACGACACCTGTGCGCTGGCAGCAAACTCGTTGCGAAAACCCCTAGGAACTGTTCTTAAAGTT